TCGGAGTTCGGATACATGAGTTAGGCCCAGATTACTGAACAATGTCGAAACTGTGAAAAATCATCCGATTTGTCTTTCTTTGCTCCTGATGCCTTCTTTCATGCCCTGAACCGAAATACAAGAAATATGAGTCTAATTAAGTATTAATTCAGTATAAAAGACAGAATATTAGGTGATAAAATATAATAGATTTTATTCTCATCACCGGCGTCCCAGACTTTCCACGTGTTTATAAAACACTTTTTGTATCAGTGGTTTAGTCAATGGGTCTACCACCTTCTCCACTGATGCTACCTTTTAATATCAATCTCCCATAGATCTAGTGTTGTCATACAATAGTGGAATGGGTGATGTACTGAATTCCAAATTCCAGAATGAACACCTTCATTCATTAGGCAGCCTCACTTACGGCAATGTGTTCAGCTTGGGTTATGGACCGTTATTCTTACTACTTAGGACCCCTGTTTGCTGTTCTTTCAGCTAATAGCACACGATCCTATCATGAAAATGTAACCAGATGTAGACTTTCTATCATCTGGATCTGATTGGAAGTTGGCATCAATATACCCCTGAATCTGTAGTGAACTACCATCGAATACTAGACAAAACTCTTTTGTCCTTCGAAGGTATTTTAGTATGTTGTTCACAACGGTCCAATGCTCCTGCCCTAGGTTTGACTGGAATCTGCTTACCACACTCACTACCTGAGAAATGTCAGGACGAGTGCACAGCATGGCATACATGATGCTCCCTGCGACTGAGGCATNTCACTACCTGAGAAATGTCAGGACGAGTGCACAGCATGGCATACATGATGCTCCCTGCGACTGAGGCATAGGGAACGCCCTTCATGCCCTCAATCTCTTCGGGAGTCTTGAGAGACATACCCTTGGAGAGAGTGACTCCATGCCTGAAAGGAACATTTCCTTTCTTGGAGTTCTCCATGCTGTATCTTTTGACTATTTTGTCAATGTAAGCAGATTGAGATAATCCTATTATCCTCTTCGATCTATCTCTATAGAGTCGAAGACCCAATATGTAGGAGGCTTCTCCAAGATCTTTCACGGAGATTGGTGTGAAAGCCATACTTTCACTGTAGTCAACATTCCTACATCATTCCCAATGAGTAGAATGTCATCTACATACAGAACTAGGAACGTAACCTTATCCCCACTGGATTTTCTGTAAACACAGGGCTCATCCGGATTTTGCTCAGAGTCAAACTGTTTGACGGTAGAGTCAAACCTGATGTTCCAACTCCTAGACGCTTGCTTAAGTCCATAAATGGATCGGTTTAGTTTACATACCATGTGTTCCTGACCCGCATCTATGAAACCTTGTGGTTTCTGCATATAGATATCTTCATTCAGGAATACTATTTTGACATCCATTTGCCAAATCTCGTAATCATGGTACGTTGGTACATCTAGCTGGATCCTAATGGACTTAAGCATGGCCATTGACGAAAAAGTTTCCTCATAATCGATTCCTTATTTTTGAGTGTACCCTTTCGCCCCAAGACAAGCCTTGTAGGTCTCAACCTTACCATCGGGGCCCTTCTTTCTCTTATAGATCCATTTGCAACCAATTGCTTTTACCCCAAGGGGCGGATCTACCAGAGTCCAGACTTCATTGGTCTCCATTGAGTCCATCTCAGCTCTCCTAACATCTACCCACTTCAAGGAATCTATGTCTAACATAGCTTCCGTTTCGACTATGACCAAGAAAGTTACTTGGTGGAAGCCACGACCAGTGAGGAGGATCCCGTAACTTGGAGCCCTTCTTTCTCTTATAGATCCATTTGCAACCAATTGCTTTTACCCCAAGGGGCGGATCTACCAGAGTCCAGACTCCATTGGTCTCCATTGAGTCCATCTCAGCTCTCCTAACATCTACCCACTTCAAGGAATCTATGTCTAACATAGCTTCCGTATAAGTTACGGGATCCTCCTCACTGGTCGTGGCTTCCACCAAGTAACTTTCTTGGTCATAGTCGAAACGGACTGGAGACCTGGAAACCCGGGTAGATCTCCTAGGTTGGTCATTAACTGGAGCTTGTGGGACATCTCCCATTACCCCTAAGTTCTCCTCATCAAGAACAACTTCTTGACGATGATTGTTCAGGATGTAATCATCTTCCAAGAAATGGGCATTTCGACTACAGAACACCTTCGGTTCTCTTGGGTCATAGAATAAGTAACCCACAGATCCTTTGGAGTAGCCTATGAATAGGCAACGGCTGGTCTTGGATTCCAATTTGTCAACACCTGTTCTTTTAACATGTGTTGGACAACCCGAAATCTTCAAGTGTCTTATACTTGGTTTCTTACCGATCCAAAGCTCATATATTGCAGTCTCTAATGCGTATATCGCACGTATATCGCAGTCTCTTATGCATAAACCCAAAAGGATATGGGTAATTTTGTGTGTACGAGAAGTGATCAAACCATATCTAATAAAGTCTGGTTCCTCCTCTCTGACACACCATTTAGCTATGGTGTAGCAGGAGGAGCTARTTGTGATACTATCCCATTGCCGTTTAAGTAGTCCTTGAATTCATTAGAGAGATACTCGCCACCTCGATCTGATCGAAGGGTCTTAATTTCTCTCCCTAACTGTTTCTCGACCTTTTGTCTGAATTCTTTGAACTTTTCAAAAGATTCAGACTTATGTCTTATTAGGTACACGTAACGATACCGTGAATAATCATCGGTGAATGTTATGAAGTAAACGTGTTGGTTACGTGCCCTAACATTCACGGGACCACATACATCAGTATGTATAAGGTCAAGTGTGCCTATCAATCTTTCAGGCTTTCCATTAATTGGTCATTTCGTCATCTTACCCAGAAGGCAAGGTTCACAAGTTGGAAGATCTTCTATATTTAGAAAATCTAGAGGACCATCCTTTATCAATCTTGTGATACGATCTATGTTAATGTGGCCAAGTCGGTAATGCCACAAGCACGTGGGATTAACTGTATCCGGGGCAAGGTTTTTAACCAAAATTTTCACAAGGACCCTTAGAGGTCACAACATTGAATTTAACCACAAAAGGGTACAGATTAGTTAGTCTAAGGTCTAAAAATACCCCTAAAATGATGCCCTTAAGGCATCAAAATATAGAGTTATTATTAGTTTCCTTCGAGTCCTTCTTGGCTTTCATGGCATCTACCCACTTCGAGGAATCTATATCCAACATAGCTTCTGTATAAGTCACGAGATCTTCCTCACTAGTCGTGGATTCCACCAAGTAACTTTCTTGGTCATAGCCGTAACGAAATGGTGGCTTGGATACCCGAGTAGACCTTCTAGGTTGGTTATTATCTAGAGCTTGTGGGACATCTCCCACTACCCCTGAGCTCTCCTTGTCAAGAACAACTTCCTGATGATGATTGTTCAGGATGTAATCTTCTTCCAAAAAATGGCATTTCGACTACAAAACACGTTTTGCTCTTTTGGGTCACTAAATAGATATCCTACAGAACCTTTGGGGTAGCCTACAAATAGGCAACGACTAGTCTTGAATTCCAATTTGTCAGCACTTGTTCTTTTAACATGTGTTGGACAACCCCAAATCTATAGGTGCCTTACACTTGGTTTCTTATCGGTCCATAGTTCATATGGAGTCTTAGGAATGGATTTGGTTGGAACCCGGTTCAGCACGTATACCACAATCTCTAATGCATACCACCAAAAAGATGTAGGTAGTTCTGAGTGTAAGAGAAGTGATTAGACCATATCTAATAAAGTTTGGGTCCACCTCTCTGACACACCATTTAATTGCGGTGTAGCAGGAGGAGCTAACTGTGAAACAATCCCATTGTCCCTTAAGTAATCCCTGAATTCATCAAAGAGATATTCACCTCATCGATCTGATCGAAGGGTTTTGATCTGTCTCCTCAACTGTTTCTCGACCTCTTGCCTTAACTCTTTGAACATTTCAAAGGATTCAGAATTATGTCTCATTAGGTACATGTAACCATACCATGAATGATCATTAGTAAATGTTATAAAATAAACCTGTTGGTTATGTGTCATAACATTCAGGAGACCACATACATCAGTATGTATTAGGTCAAGCATGCCTGTAGATCTTTTAGGCTTACCTATAAATGGTTGTTTCATCATCTTACCCTGAAGGCAAGGTTCACAGGTTGGAAGATCTTCTACAATTAGAAAATCCAAAGGACCATCATTTACCAACCTTGTGATACGATCTATGTTAATGTGGCCAAGTCGGTAATGCCACAGTCACATGGGATTAACTATTTCACATGTTCTCTTCTTGGGAATTATTTCTGACATAGTTTCAGCTAAATTTGTTTTTAGAGAATGATGGACAACATAGAGACCAGTCTGAAGTTCTCCATATGTGAGGAATTTGTTACTCTGTTTAATAGTAATCACATTACTGAACAAAATAGAATAACCATCCATGCACAATTTTGAAACCGAAATCAATGAATTTATATATAATAAATTCAGTATGTTATACATACATTAATTTATTATATATAAAATTTGAAAAGTAATTAATTTTTTTTATATTTTAAACAATTAAAATGGAGACTGATTAAATCTAAATCCAATCCTAATCCATTAGGGTTTGATTCTAATTCAAATACAAAGGTCTTTATTCTTTAAATCCGATTGAATTTCGGATTGGATTCGGATGCAAATTTTCAATAATCAGATTCGATTCAGATTTTGCTCAATCCGATCGGATTACAGCCGTAGTTGGGAGACAACATGTGAACAGTACAGGCTGTCGAAGCTAGACAGCCAAAAGTATTATGGGATAGGCTTTATTCACAGGAATTGTTACAGCATATCTGGACTTCGTTAACCGGGGTTTCGGCATTTTATTTTAGTGCTACGAAGTTAGTTTAGTTCATTGTATTTGTTACAGCTGATACCAGCTCAACAAAGTATCGATTTATAAGCTCTCTTCTTCGGTTCCTCTCTATTTATTCTATTGCTTCCTCTCTCTCTCTCTACTCTAGGTTCCTTTCAAGTTTCAAGGGACGCTCTACCCTCTCCCTGGTTGTTTTCTATTTACACTTCCTTCTTTCATTGATATTGGAACAGTTCATCCCGTACTGGACTGCTCTGTGTTCCGATATTATAAGCTGTAAGACCCTACATACATCTCCGTCCTCGTCTCTCCAGCAACCATGATCACCGGCAAGGACATCTACGATGTGTTGGCAGCAATTGTACCACTCTATGTTGCCATGATCCTTGCCTACGGTTCAGTTCGGTGGTGGAAGATCTTCACCCCCGATCAATGCTCCGGCATCAACCGCTTTGTGGCAGTATTCGCCGTCCCCCTCCTTTCCTTTCACTTCATCTCCAACAACGACCCTTACGCCATGAACTACCGCTTCATTGCAGCAGACTCTCTGCAAAAGATTGTGATCCTCTTTGCTCTATTCCTCTGGCAGGCCTTCAGCAAGAATGGTAGCCTTGAATGGATGATCACCCTCTTCTCCCTTTCCACTCTCCCCAACACTCTTGTCATGGGCATTCCCCTCCTTAAGGCCATGTATGGAGAGTTCTCTGGGACTCTCATGGTGCAAATTGTGGTGTTGCAGAGTGTGATCTGGTATACTCTTATGCTCTTCATGTTTGAATACAGAGGTGCAAAGCTCCTCATCGGAGAACAGTTCCCAGAAACTGCTGGCTCCATCACTTCCTTCAAGGTTGACTCCGACGTTGTTTCACTTAATGGTCGAGAGCCATTGCAGGCCGATGCTGAGATCGGAGATGACGGGAAGCTCCATGTGGTCGTAAGGAGATCGACAACAACGTCGGTGATATCTTCTTACAACAAATCCCATGGACTAAATTCAATCTCAATGACCCCAAGAGCGTCCAACCTCACTGGCGTCGAGATCTACTCGGTCCAGTCGTCCCGAGAGCCAACGCCAAGGGCTTCGAGCTTCAACCAGACCGACTTCTATGCCATGTTTGCGAGTAAGATGCCGAGTCCAAAGCACGGTCACAGTCACACAAACAGTTTTCAAGGTGGCGCTGGGGAAGTTTATTCCGTGCAGTCCTCGAGAGGGGCAACGCCGAGGGCCTCGAATTTTGAGGAGGAGATGAGGTTCGGGAAGAGGAAAGGAGGGAGGAGTATGAGTGGCGAGCTCTTCAATGGATTGCCTTCTTCTTACCCACCTCCGAACCCAATGTTTTCAGGGTCAACCAGTGGCGCCAAGAAGAAGGAAGCTACTGGTGGTGGTGGTGGTGGTGCGCCTAATAATAAGGAACTCCACATGTTTGTTTGGAGCTCAAGTGCATCACCAGTTTCAGAAGGAAATCTCAAACATGTCGTTAATAAAGCTACTTCTACTGATTTTGGGGTGGTTGATTCTTCCAAAGCCGTTCTTCAACAAGAAATAGCTGCTTCAAGAGGTACAAATCTCTCTCTCTCTCTCTCTCTCTCAAAAGTATAATCTGTTTATTGTTTTCTTTCTTGGGTTTTCTTTCTTTCATTTCCTGATGAAAATTTTCATGTTCTATGATACAGGTATGCATGATTTCAATGAAAATGCTAGCCCACTTACAAAAATGGGGAGAGATAGAGAGTTTGACATAGAAGATGTTCCCAAGAATCCGGCAGCTGGATCTCCCCATTTGAGCCAGAAGAAGGTTGAATTAGGAGGAGAGGGTGAAAAGAAACACCAGATGCCCCCTGCAAGTGTCATGACCAGACTCATTCTTATCATGGTTTGGAGGAAGCTTATAAGGAATCCAAACACTTACTCAAGTCTCTTTGGGCTGGTGTGGTCCCTAATATCTTTCAGGTATTCCTATAAAATCTCAGACAAGGTCTACTAAGGGGAAAATTACCTATGTTGAAATTATTTAATTTTGAATAAAGTTCTTACCAATTTTTTTTCTCCAATCCACTAGGGAATAGGGATCCTCTTTGCATTCCACCTCTAACCAACTACTACAGGAATAATGGTTAATTAGGCATTCCATACACTTTCTATTGACTGTTATAACTTTTTGGGAGAGCTACACCAAAGCTGAAATAGTTTTTTCTCTCTACTTTTCCTTTCTTTTTGTACGTACTCTATTACAAAGTCAAAACATACTATATATCTTGTTTTCTTTCATTTACATCTTTGTTTTATTTAATCAATCATTTATCTAATTGGATTTTGGATAGCATGATAATGATAGGCTAAAACTTTGTCATAATAGGGAGAAAAAGATTAGGGTTTATACTAGCTGGATTTAGGACTTGCTGGGCATAACAACAGAAATAAGAAAAAAAAAAAAAGATTTCCTACACCATACATAGTTGGCATAGGGAATTAAAATAATATCCTCTTGTTAATTTTCCCCTTACTAAAATGAATGATGACTCAACCAGGAATCTCCCTTGTCTTTATTATATACTCCCAACGCTTGTCTTGTTTCATGTCCAGAAAACCATGCAGGAATTTTAGTACATTCATCTCTCTCACCATAATCATCTCTCCTCTTTCTCTGCCTCCTCTGCACATGCAAATGCACATGCCACTCAACTAATTCTATATGATAAATGCACGACTGACTGTAGGGTTTCTTAATAAGTAATTTGATATAAAAATCAATATGTTACCATCATTTTAATAATTTTCTTATTTGATAACAGCTGAAATGGCTGAACTGAATCAGTTATGGATTTGAGTGATGAATATTTAAGGCACCGAGAAAAATATAATTGGCCAAAAAAGTAATTATCAGTTTTCTGTTTTTCCACCTTTGTTTATAGGCAAGGGGCCTCCTGCCAACAAAACAGGTTCCAACAACCTACCAACATGATCTGAGACCGTATATTTCACCATAAAAGTAGGACCCGCCATGTATGATAGTGTCAGATTGTATTGGTAGGTGGTTGGAATGTGTTTTGTTTTATTGGCTTTCCAGGTAAGCCCTGACTCAAAAAGCTAAAACCAGCGATGTGGAAAGCCCTTCCATAAGCTCCTTAATGACTGAGGTGAAGTTGGGTTGGTTATTATACCCTGGAATACTTTATTTTTTATTATTTTATACACCAAAGTAAGCAATATGTCATCCTACAGTTCAGCCAAATTATTTTATACACTAATAAATCTTGTAAATCCTTATTAGCAATTTCAATATTTTTTTAATTAATTGTTAGAATTTATATATTCTCATCACTTTTCCTTTCTTTTCTTAATTCTTTTTTATACAAGCAAATACATACATACATACATACATACATGTGGGGTGGGTTGATTTAGATCTCAACCCACCCCACATGATGTATATACATATATATCTTGTGAACCATGAAAATATTTCTTAAACGATTTGAATAATTTTTGTTTGACAGATGGAACATTCAAATGCCTTCAATTGTGAGAGGGTCGATAACCATATTATCTAATGCTGGCCTGGGGATGGCTATGTTTAGTCTAGGTATTTTTCTATAGCCAAATTAACTTTTTGGTTACAACAACCATGTACTTTATTTATTAGATATTAAAACTGCTTAATCCCGTTTGCTTCTTGGACAGGCTTGTTCATGGCTCTGCAACCAAAAATCATAGCTTGTGGCAAAACCATAGCCACATTTTCCATGGCAGTTAGGTTTTTGACAGGGCCAGCAGTAATGGCAGCGACTGCAATCACTATTGGTATTAGGGGAGTTCTATTGCATGTTGCAATTGTTCAGGTACAGAATTAAATCTTAAGGAAACCCTAAACCCTAATTCCTAAAAGAATTTATACATAAATCTTTTAAACTTATTAGTCTTTCTTTCTTGTTTACAGGCCGCTCTTCCGCAAGGGATTGTCCCCTTCGTGTTTGCAAAAGAATATAATGTTCATCCTGACATACTTAGCACCGCGTAAGTTAAAACATCACAAATACAACAGCTCAAGATATTGAAATTTAAGGTGGTGTTTGGCAGTCTTTTCGGTGCATCTTTTGGTCTGCTAAAAATTAAAAACATAAAAAAAATGATCTTTTTCTGTTTGGCATCGTGTAGACCAAAAGATATAAAGGCTGCATGGAAAGACCGAAAAGACGAAAATCAGGAAACTTCTATCTTTAACAGCCCAATAGACTATGATGCAAATCAAACGGTATTGATCTTTAAAGACAAGACTCTAAAAAATCAACCCGTCTTTTTATATACTAGACGATCATTTACCTAACAAGACTTGCCAAACAACCCATTAAGTAAAACAAATCTTTGAACTGAAGTATATTCCCTAATTAATTTGTTGGTGCAGGGTCATTTTTGGAATGCTGGTTGCACTACCCATAACAATACTCTACTACGTTCTTCTCGGTTTCTAAAGGAAGTTTTGGGAAGAGAAGACAGATCAGCAGAGGAGAAGACACACGTTGAAACAGATACCATTTCATCACTAAGACAGGCTGAGGTAATTAGATGACAAATTGGTCTAAAATAGACCATGGGTTTCAGTGTACAACTTGGTCTTATGTGCTTCAGTGCATGTGACCGTTGGGTTTTGAAAATACCAACAGCTTCTAATTTTTTAAATACTTGTCGCCAATTTTTTACTTTTGAGTATCTTTCTCGGTCAGTCATGTAGAGAGTGATTAAAAAAAAAAAAACTATGGAAAATTAAGGAAGAGAAAGCTTATCTTTGACTTTGGTAACTCATTAACTTTGCTTGAAGATTAAAAAGAAACCATGTAATAAAAAAGTGAACCCGATCAGAATTATTTAACTCCCAATACATGTGTTCGATTTAAATAAAGAAAAACCATGGCGTCAAAAGAGAAGGGTAGCTTCAATGTATTGTTCAAACCTCTATTATTTTATAAATAAATTTAGCTCCTAAGTAAACATTAACTGTACGTGTCTTGACCTTCTCATTAGCATGTGCTCCCTTGAGTAAAGATAAAATAAATAAATAAATAAAACTAGAAAGAGAAAAGGTTTGTCACGGCTGTATGCTCTAACTTTCTAACTTACTGATTGGATTATACGATTTTCTAAAAATTGAAAATGGGGTGTTTAGAAAATACAAGTTTTGTCACTTATTTTCTCTGTTTTGTTTCTGTTCAATACATCTACCTTAAGATTTGTGTTTCAATCAATAAGACAATGACAAAGTTACATTGCTAAGGCTGCATTTGGAAATTAACCATGCAAATAAGTGTGAATGCAAATATGTAGAGTGTAAAACGGTGCATATAAATTGTAAAGTTGGGTTAGTTTTGCGCTGGCAAATTTATCTTCTTACATTACTGACTTTTAACTTTAATGGATGCAAACACAAATTCCAATAAAGCATATGTCGTTTTTTATCAAAAGCCCACTTGAATGTAAATTTACTTCTTTTTTATTGATGTACTTTACATCTTATTATCAATGTAAATATATATTGGAAAAATGTGTTTTCTGTCATTTGTCAATGCATAAATGTAATGTTGCCAAATACAAGCAAAAGTGAACCAGAGTGCAAATTTACCTTGAACTGGGATTTACACTCCATTTGCATTGTTTCCCAACGCAGCCTAATGTTTTGTTGTGAGAAATATAATTATGCCTAGTGTATATATATAGATAGATAGATAGAAAATGTAACTGTATTCAATCATAACATATGCTTATGAGTCTAAATGTTTGTACTAGTAACAGAAAAACTATGATCAAATGGTCATTAGACTCACTACTACTGCCCCATGTGGCTTTTGAGCTAAGATCATACAAAGACAGGAGCACTTTGGCCATTTAGATTGGCCGATGATGATTATCAATACATATTATCATTTTGATGTCCTGAACCTTGGGCTCAATTTGGAAACAGTAAAAGTACAAATATGTACAGTATAAATACATAGGAAATAATACAAAATATAAGATTTTGCTTTCTATATATTTGTACTTGTACTGCTTCCAAACTGAGAATTAGGCTGTGTTTGGTTGCAAAGCAAATAAATTTGCACTGATGCAAAACCATGACAGTGTAAATGATTTGAGTGTAAATTCTGACCTATTTTTATTTTAAAATTTATTTTATTTTGTTTTATTACAGTATAAATGAAGTAAATTAAGGCATGAAAAAGAATAAAGTAAAATCCAAAACAAAATTAAACAAAAATTTTCATGTTTTATATTTGCACTCCCATGCATTTGTATTAATGAAAATAAAATTATACTGCAATCAAACACAACCTTAAGGACAATGAAAACTGACGAAATTAGTAAAGGATTCGCAGAATCAAAAGTGAAATTTGTCTTAAATGGTGAGTCATGCAAATAGTTGAGTTTTGGTTATCTACATTGAATTAATGATAGTAATGATCTAGATTTATTTTTGTTAACAAAGTGTAGAGGAGATCAGTAATCTTCTTCGCAGCAAAATTAGAGCCTATGTTATATATAGTAGAATTAACTATGGAAATATGTGACCAATGAAGAAGATGATATCATAGATATACAATGTCAGTCCACGGCCCACTACATAATGAGATTTACAAAGCATCAATTTCGCATTGGTCAATGAAGCCATTGGGTTTATAATTGAAAATGTCGATTTACACCCAATGAAATTCATACTGATTTGTATAGGAAACACTATTCTAGATTTAGGCCCCTATCGGCACATTTTTTCACACGGTCTGTCGGCTATTTACAAGTCCGACAGATCGTGATTCAGTTTTTTCCCGTTTGGTTTAAGGTAAATTTAGTTGTCAAAAGTCGATGCACTAAAAAGACGTGAAAAGTCTAAAATGGGCGATTTTTGGGAATAATAAGGAAAATGGGAACCAAACGGGCCCGAACGGGCCTAGGCCGTGGGTCGTGTCGGGCCGACCCCCAAAGTTTTCACCAGGGAGGCTGTAACGACCCACGAGCCAGCACGACATGACCCACACTTTGCGTGGGCCGCCCGCGAGCCAGCCTGACATGGCCCACTTTGAAGGGAAGGGAGATCCATTATATGGATGGCTGAACCATGCAAGGTGCCTAGGCAAAATTTCAAAAAATTTCTTTCTCCCTTCCGGGAATCATATTCTCAGTTTTAGAAAAGCTGCATTTTTCAAGGGTCGTTCTTGAAACAAATCGGACCAGATTCGAAACCAAAATAAGAGAGAGCTATACCTGATACGGAATCCACAAACGTAGCTCCCAAAGTAGGTGTTCACACCCAGAGAGGTGACCAAATCCTAACTCCACTGTAGATGGCGTAGCATGAAAGGAAGTAGAATCAGCAAGAACTACAATCCTTCAGCAAGGATCACGCAAGGGAGGTGAGCACAAATTCAGATATGATTTTTTAACAAAAATCAGAATCAAGATATAATCTTGATCACTCCAAGAACTGGAGATCGAACAGGGTAGGGCGGCAAGAATAGAGGGAGAACTAATTGCAGAAAAAAAGTGTTCAACTGAAGTTGTTCGCCCTCTATTTATAACCTTTCAAGATCAGCTTTCCTAATCCTATTAGGAAAGAGTTCTTTGATCCAAATCTTTATTTGGATCTGAACTCTTAAGTGGATAAAACTTATCTTATCCTCCTTCTGATCCAAATCCAAATCTAAACCCAGATTCGCCCATATTAATTAATCACATTAACCTAGCTCGATATGGGCTTCGGGCCCATTAAGTTATTAGGCTCACTTCTCTTTTAATTGTTGGCCAACTTGGCTCTTTTTGTATGGTGTGGGACCCTAACATTGATCTCCACAAAAGCCATATGGGTTCAGCCTAGCCTCTGCTATAAGGCCTGGTCGAATTCACTGTTGAATACAGTGAACCCTTGAGCCCATTAGTATGGGCTCTTAGCAGGCCCAACATTTACACTAAATGGTCCTTGGGTCTAGCCACCTTAGGAAGGCCCAAAGAATTTGGTCTTAAGTGAGATTAGCCCATCATGTATATTAGCCCTAAATGGTCTTACACTTAACCACTTAACCCATAATGATCAAACACTACCCGACAAGAGAGGACCTCTCCCTCGGCTGCAAGGTATAGTGTTGCACTCTCTGCTCAAGATGGATCTTGGGAATTAAAACCTTTGCAAACCTTTTTCATAAAAACATACTATATATATATATATATATTGCAAAACAAATCTCAAACAAGTTTGAAATACACTGCCCGCAGTTTAGGTTTCCATTAGAGAGTGTTGTCCCTAATCATTCACTTTGTCCGACAAAGGGGCTGATTCTATCACTATGATCACCCATTCAAGTGAATTCTCAGACTACCCCAACATACCTAGGTTTTGACCCCCGCTAAGGATGTCACTGATTGGCATATCAAAGACAACCCAATCCAACACCTAGTGCAGGACCATAATCGAGTTTAGGGGTTAGGTGTAACTTTCCAGTTTTTCCATCTGTCTCTAAGGTTCAGGGCATAACTGGAAAATGGTATGGTCTAGAGTTTCAAGCAAACCCACACTACATGTGCATCGGGTCTCACCCTAGTATCTGAGACAAGCCACCCCAACCGACTTGGTAGCACATTAGTGTCAGCCTTGGCAAGATAAACCTCCCCAGGTCTATCCAACAGTTGTGAACATTCTAAACTAACACAAGTCTCATAACTGTCCAGTTTAAGGGTTATTACACAGAAACACACCAGATATAACATGAATCAATTATGTACTTTTATTCATTTACAATAAATGTCAAATGTACATCAATCTGATTGGGGCTAAGAGCATACACTATCTAATAGCTCCCACTTAAACTTAGGTCCAATCGCATACAAGCTAGAGTCTCATACTGTCCATGTGTTTCTCAAACACTTTCTGTGTTAGTGGCTTAGTCAATGGGTCTACCACATTCTCCACTAATGCTACATTCTGAATCTAGACGTCCCCTCTACCAACAATCTCCCGCAATACATGGTACTTCCTCTCGATGTGCTTTGACTTCAAATGGGCTTAGGGCTCCTTAGCCTGAACAATGGCTCCATTGTTGTCACACAATAGTGGAACAGGTGATGTGCTAGATGGAACTACTCCTAATTCTTGAATGAATTTCTTCATCTAAACGACTTCCTTGGCAGCTTCACCTGTGGCAATATACTCGACCTCGGTCATGGAAGTCCTTCAAAAGTATTTAAATATGTTTTTCACAGTTGTCTAGTGCTCCTATCCTTGGTTTGACTGGTATCTACTTACCACACTCACTTCCTGAGCAATGTCTGGCCGAGTGTACAACATGATATACATGATGTTCCCTACGGATGAGGCATAGGGAACCTCTCTCATGCCCTCCATCTCCTCGAGAGTCTTGGGAGACATACCCTTGGAGAAAGTGACTCCATGTCTGAAAGGGATAAATCCCTTCTCGGAGTTCTCCATGCTGTATCTTTTGACAATCTTGTCAATGTAAGTAGACTATGATAATCCTATTATCCTCTTCGATCTATTTTTATAGAGTCAAAGTCCCAAGATGTAGGAGGCTTCTCCGAGATATTTCATGGAGAATTGTTGCGAAAGCCATGCCTTCACTGTAATTAACATTCCGACATCATTCCCAATGAGTAGAATGTCATCTACATACAGAACCAAGAACGTAATATTATCTCCCACTGTCTTCCTATAAACATAGGGCTCATTTGGATTTTCCTCAATGTCAAATTGTTTTATGGTAGAGTC